TTATAAATAACTTTATGGACATCTATGGTTTGATTTCTTTGCATGTGTGGATTAACTGGGTTGTTACACACAGTAAACGTTTGAGGGTCAATAGGAACTTTAGAAACATATTTACTTGAAACATTGGTGATGTGTTTCATACTTCTTTTACCAGCTGTAAATGTGAGGTATGAAGTTAAAACCAATAAACGATATCAGCATAAGTTGACTAAGAGCCGTGCAATGTGCATGTTTACTATACACGCAAGTAAGAAGAGGAAATGTCTAATGCCACACTATTCTCATAGAAAAGGAATGTTTTTCATGCTTTTAACACGTGTACAAATACGTCTATGTTCATGTGATCGTCTGATAATCTGAGCTTGGTCGTTACTGTTGACTGTTAAAAATGGCATGAACATCTGAACTACTCGTGAGCAGCCCTCAGGCAGGAATTGAACTCTTTGTGTCAAAAGTCCTTGAGTGATTTAACAGACTTGGCCAGGTTGCTGTAGAACTCGGCCATGCTGGAGGGGAAGAACGAGTCGACCACAGAGCGAGGGAGGTAGCCTCCGAGGTCTGTTTGGAAAAAAGTCAGCACCTGGGTTTTGTTGGGCTCTCTGGAAAAACACAAGGGGGAAAAAGAAAAACTTTTAACACACACACAAACACACACAAATGAAACGTATTGTTTAGTTACTCACCCTGAGACGGGGACACAGATGCAACCACAGGGATGGTTGAATCCTCTCACGTAGCCAGACTGGGGAGCGCAGCTCGGGTGAATTGTATTGGTAGCTTTTTGATATCACACAAAAGAAGCACATGAGTCTGTTTATACAGGTCCAAGTGAGAATAAATCAAAGATTCATAACATTTTTGAGAATATTAGATTGTAACAATGTAAACGTGTCCTTTAACGTCATCACAATAAAAATGCTACTGCATGTCTCACACATATGAACAAAGTAACAGCATATTTTGCATCAGTTCGTTGCATCGTAGCTCCACTGATCTAAAACTGATGGCATCTTCAGAACAGGCTGATTAATATCGTGATTTTACCTCAGTTATTTTCTTCTATACATTTCTCTGATGTCCTATTCATTTATTTATTATGTCTGTTTCTGACCAGGATATGTCCTTCAACGCACATATTAAACAAATATGTAAGACTGCTTTCTTCCATTTGTGCAACATCTCTAAAGTTAGAAATATCCTGTCTCAGAGTGACGCTGAAAAACTAGTTCATGCATTTATTACTTCCAGGCTGGACGACTGCAATTCATTATTATCAGGAAGTCCAAAAAACTCCCTGAAAAGCCTTCAGCTAATCCAAAATGCTGCAGCAAGAGTCCTGACAGGGACTAGAAAGAGAGAGCAGATTTCTCCTGTTTTGGCTTCCTGTTAAATCCAGAATTCAAAATCCTGCTCCTCACATACAAGGTCTTAAATCAGGGGTCCCCAATCCCAGTCCACGAGGGCCGGTGTCCTGCAGGTTTTAGATCTCACCCTGGGTCAACACACGTGACTCACATGATTAGTTCATTACCAGCCTCTGGAGAACTTCAAGACGTGTTGACAAGGTAATTTATTCATTTAAATCAGCTGTGATGGATCAAGGACACGTCTAAAACCTGCAGGGACACCGGCCCTTGTGGACTGGGATTGTGGACCCCTGTCTTAAATAATCAGGCCCCATCTTATCTTAATGAGCTTGCAGTACCATATCACCCCATCGCTGTCCCCGTCTTGTCTGCCTGATTATTTCCAGCTGTGTTTCCTTCCAGTCTCCCATTCCCTGATTTCTCTGTTGTGTATTTCAGTCCTCTGTCTTCCCCTGCTTGTTGTCGCGTCGTACCCTCAATACGCTGTTTTTCCTTCTGTGCTCCTTGTAGTTCCTAGCTCTGGTTTCCAGCGTCTCAGTGTATATATTTACGTTCGTATTTCTAGTTCCTCGTTTTCAGGTTGTTTTCTGTATGAAGAGTTTTACAGCCAAAATAAAGCTAAAGTCCTGCATTTGGTCCAAGCTCCTGCCTGCCACACAGCGATTCATGACAAAAACTGAATTGACTTTATGGCCAGCGAGTAGGTGAGCTGCTTTAATCGTCCAGTTAAAGCCAGTATTTTCAACTCTACTGTTATCATGTCTTTTACAATAAAGTCGACATCTGTGACATCACCGTCAGGGAGAATTTGTCCGAGTCTGTTCATGCGCTGCATTGTGCAGGTAAAAGTCAACTGTGCATTGCACATGGACAGCACTGCTTAAAATAATAAAAA